AGGTGTAAAACCGGAAGTAATAACCGGATGCGTTCAAAATCCCAGTGGTCAACTTCCCTCGCCTAGGGCTACAACATATTGCAATATGAAGTCATTCGAACCATTAGTTACCGGTTTACAAAAAAGTGCTAATTGCATTTTCAGAAATCATTATCACTCGCCCCCCAGGAGTCCCAGGGGTCTGGAAATTTGCATGCCCGGCTAAAATCATCTCTATTAGTCACCCACCAATTTTCATAGGGATCGGACCAGTGGTTCCCAATCCGGGGGGGGGGGGGGGGTTTCCAGATTTTTAGCGCTTTCTTCTTTTTTCCAATTCTTCGCCCTAGAGGCCAAATTCAAGGTGCAGAGTCCGATTACGATTGTTTGCTCTCAAACTAAGCTTATCTATCACTGAATTTCATTGCTCTAAGTTCATACAGTCGGCTTACCTTGAAATCAAATTTCACAATTTTCAACCATTTTCATCATAAAATTATCAATTTTACACTCAGGTTTCTATAGCATCTAATACAGTAGAATCACCAATTCTACACTTTTTAAACCTATCACTCAAATTTTTTTTCTCTTTTAATCCACTCACTTTATCATTTTACTCATTCGTTGTTGCTTCATTTGTTGTTGAAAGTTGTACAGAGCAAAAATAGCAGGGTTAAATCATTTGATGTAAAGTTTCCTGAAGTAAGTAATTACGAATTGTTTCCAAACTATATCTAATTAGGGTTAGTTATAAAAAATAATTTTATATAAACAAGCACGCAATCGTACCAACCAAAATTTAGGGGGGAAAGAAAACTAGACAACAAGCAAATTAGACGATGTGAATAAAACGAAAATTAGGCGATTCCTTCTTGATTGAAAATTGAAAATTTCACTCAAGAAGAAGTCACAATATTACCGAAAAAACTCAATTAAAAAACCAAATTTTTATATGAAATTGATGATAAAGTGTTTATTCCATACACTGTAATTTCATTTTGAAACAAATATATTATACAACTATGACAAATGGTAACTTGATTAGTGTCTAGAAGAACTCAAACGAAAATGATTAATAGTCGGTAAACAATTTTCACCGACATCAACCGCTCAGTTTTGTCTAATCTCTCATAATTGTAGTTATACGAGTCAACTAGTTTCTGTTTTTATTTACTTCGTCTAATTTGCTTGTAGTCTAAATTCCTAGGCCCCAAAATTTTGATTGAAGAACAAATTCTAAACATTGTTCTGTGAATGCATTTATCTTATCTTCAAGTTCAACTCTGGTCGCGACTGAATAGCTTTAAAAACATATATCACCTATCCATATCCAATGTGTTTCCACCGTGGCTCCTGATTTGGGCGTAGAAGGGAATGGTATGTTTTTTCCAGCTTACTACGGCTCCAAAGAAAAAACTCTGTCTTTTTGCGGCCAAGTCAACTTTGATCAAAGAACCGTGGCAACGATAGAAAGTGATACCACGTATCAGCACAATATCAATATTTTGATACTCACAAAGTACCAGCGGAAACTCTTCCGTTTCGTTTTTTAATTTCATCTAAACAATTTTTAGTCTAACCCTGTGTGCTGTTTTCTACGCTAACATTGATGAATTCTGTCATAACCTGAATTTTGCGTACTTTTAATTAAACAATCGTATTCCTTAGAAAAATTCAAATGAATTTTTTGCGTTTTGCGTGAATTCATTGCCAAAGTAAACCAAGAAAAGACTATTACTGTTCAATGTAGCACAGAAATTTCCAACCACATTAATTTAACAAAATGAACTGCAGTTACTTTTTTCAAAGTGTCTCCGTTTTGTCCGTATTTTGATAACAGTATCTGAATTATTCGATAGTAACAAAAAAATAGGTAAAAAAGACAGTTGTTCTCTTTGATAAAAACTTTTGAGGAATTTTCAAAAAATTTTCAAAACAAGTTATGCCAGAAAGACTCAAACAGAAACTTCAGAAACGCTTTTTAGTGGCGTGAAATAAATTTACAAGGTTTACTTTTACCTGATTGTTCCTGATGCGGAGCCAAAAAGTTCATTAAGTTGTTATTAAAGTGTTTAGTTCGATATCCAACAAAAAAGGAGCCAGAAAATCGAATAATTTTTAGAAACGCTAATCCAACAAACAGAACATACTAGAATTCAATTAGGAAGCATTCTTTTTTTGATAATACAGTGTGAGGTCCATTATCTAGACATTAACAAGTTAATTTATTTATTGCTAAATTTCCATTTCAAAGATCTGGCTAGAAATTTAAATTTGCAAACTTTTTAGTCTTGCAAATATTTTTTGACTTCAAAAATACTTTAAAATTAAAGTTATCCAAGTTTTTTGTTTCAACAATTACTTCTCTGCCCTCACAGCAAGTAGTTGTTAGGCATTTTGACTCTCAACCAGAATCATTCCACTTTTTGTTTGAACAAAATTAAGCTAAAATATTTATTTCAAACTAAGCATTTTCAAACTTAACTAAGAATTTTAAATGAACTGTCTAGCAAAAATGCGAAATTGAATTTTTTCATCATTGACTTTACTTTTGTTATTCAGTACGTAGTTGTTCAATTTTGATAGTTAAATGTTTCTTTTCAGCAGCTGGAGTTTTTGATAGTTTATTTCGAGTATTCATACACAGAGGTGAAGCGGAGCTTCGCATCACTTGGGATACCAAAAATAGCATCGCAAGCTAGCAGACAGGAAAGAAAAGGAGAGCACCTAAGTCCAACGAAAACGAAAAGTTTTCTAGAAGCCAAAATTAAAAAACTTCCATCTATTGTCTGGACTGATGTTCTGTTTGTGGAAAACAGCTCCAGAAAACAATCCATTGCGTTCATGGTAAACTCAAAAACGGTTATTGTGCAAAATTAAGTTTGTTGTCATGAAAAATTTTGATCACTAAATTCTTTTCCGAGATTTGTAACATCTTTTGCCATTCTGAGGAAAGAATTCAAATTATGGTTCCCTCAAACGATCCAACAAAAAAATAGAAAACAGATAAAATATAAGCCGAAAAAAAATTACGAAGTCAAGACTAGTAGAATAACATATTGCAGCAGTTACTGCAGAATTAATAACAAAACGTAGTTTTTTTAAACGTAAAACTCCCCTATTGGAAAAAACAAGTCCTGGTCAAATTCAAAACCATGATTTTGGCCATCCCAGGTGCGTTTACTTCCAGAATAAGAGTGCTTGAAAATCTTAAAAATTTTTGATTGCAAATTACGAGGCCAATCGGTGCACTGAATAGGCGCACAATGTTTCTGATTTTTTCTTGATTCCAGAGACAATCCTTAAATCTGTTAAAATTTTGTCGGTAATATCAAAGGAAAAGGAAGAACACAAGAAGAACAAAAGGAGCGTCCTTGCTGCGGAATCCACTTACAATTCATTATGAGCCTAAAGGCAGCCGCCAGGGGCCAGTCAGGGCTCTTGTCTGTTAGCTCTTTGCACGCTTCCCTTTGCCTCTTCTCAATTTCATCGTTCAGTTACAAACTTTTCTTCAAGTTCTTACCTGGATTCGAACCGGGTCGTTCTGCGGATTGCTCACTTATGCTACTAACTGTGCCAAGCACGCTATTAATGTTAAAACCTAAGTCAAAAACTTACAAAGCGAACCACCTGAACAAAAGACAAAATAAATTTAGATGAGTAGTTATCTGTAGGGCTGCTCCGCTCAAGCCCCGCGGGAACTCGAAAGAGCCTGATGTAATCATTTGAAAGATGATACAGTCTGTTTTACTTTTAAAATTAAAAAAGAGTCGAAAAATCAAATGTCGGACTTAGAGCTCGAACTGAATTGATTTGCCTTTTTACTATCAGTTATTAAAATTTCCTCAATTGATGGCAGTGAAGACAAGAGAAAAGATATATCATGAGAAGAATTGAAATAAAAAAACACTGAAGAGAATAAAAGTGGAACTGAATTCAAATTCTTTAAATCAAACTGAGCAGCCCCCAAATTATTCCTATTCGAAGCAACACATGAAATGAGTGATACCAATAAAAACCGCAGGTGCTTACCTTTTTTTAGTTTAGGAGAAATTAATGTTCAATGTCGGATTGCATTGAACATAAGTTTTGTTAAATAATATTTAAAAAAAATCCCTCACATATGAAAAATCCTATATGTTTCTTCGATTTGGGAGTTCGCGACAGATATACTAGACTAAGGACCTTTCTGATTACGAAAAAAAAATCTTCAAAATTTTCAACTCCACTTTATAAGCAAGTTTTTTTGTCTCCGAACAGGGTCTGAACTTGTTCATAACGTGTGTGAGACAAATACATATATGCTCGACTACGAAGGAACTTAACAACAACAAAATTTTTCCAAAATTATCCTGTTTTTATTTTTAATTCCCCAATGGGAAAAACCCAAGGAAAAAAACAGCGGTAACTTTGCGAGATCGGTTTTATACCATCCAATGTCATTAAGTTAAGAACTCGCGGTGGCTGTTTAAAAGTGGATAAAGCTCGCGCTCTTACGCGCGCTCGTAAAAAAAGATGGCGGAAAATGCCGACCACTAAGATTAAGTCTCTATTCTGATTTTTTAACATAATAAAATTGATTGAAGTCTATGGCTAGTCGAGAATGCGGTTTCGACGAAAAGCATCTATTTTTTTTTCGAAAAAAGATAGATGCCGTGCCTCAAGGCGGCATTCTCGACTAGACAAAGATTTCAATCAACTTTTTTACACTTCAAATTTGCAAGCGTTATGAAATTAGAATAAAGACTTATGTTTTGGTAATAACTTTTTTAACAGAATTTATTGTTTTCTTTGTTCATAATGTTTTCATTTTTTATTCATTTTGCTCTTGGCTTCAGAAAATTTGTGTTGAATAATTGAGCAATTTTCGTCTCTTGTGAAAACAATTGTTTCTAAAAATTTGAAACCAGAACTGTTCTTCAACCTCAACGACAATTAGAAACAAAAAAAAACATTATACAATTTTATTTTAATGATTCTGGAATAAGCAAACATCAAATACAAATGAAACTGAACTCACTTCAACAATTCAACATGCAGGGTGAGATTTTAAAAGTAGAACCAAGTATAAAAAATGAAAAGCTATGTAATATCTGTTTGTAGAACTTATTATACGCTTTACTTTTCTTGTAGGGCTTTGACAATTGCCAAGTTGTCATAACTTTATAAACTGAAAACTTAGAACTGGGTTAATTTTTGCGTAGCCTGCAAATTGAACGAAGTTTCAGGTTGAGTTCAGTTTTGCTATGAGTTTTATCTTTCCACCTATCAGATTGTTGCATTCGACGAAGTTGTATGGATATTGATTAAGTTTTGCTCGACTGCCATTGGCTAATCACCAGCATTCGTCTCTCATTTGTGTAGTACTGTTGTCTGTGTAAATAGTCATAACTTGCAATGGCATTGGGGTGCCCAATGATCTTTTTTGCCTAAAAAATTGCATGCTTTTGGTCACAACAGTCCGTTAATTAATTGATGAGAATGCAGGTTAGATTTTTCTGATGACAAAGAAGATCTTTACCAAGAAAGTGAACCAAAGCTATGCACATGATGAAAAATAACTTGAACTTTTTCCTCTCCTTCGTAGTTTGCCTCATTCTAAGCAAGACGCGTACATCTTTTCTTGTCTCGGAACAACAAAGCAACAACAAATTGGTTATGAAAATTTTGATAGATTTTAGAGTACGTATAAAAGAAAACGGAACCTACCGCACGTATAACACTGTTATTAAGGGGTTCCCCCACCGTCACCGCAACCTCTGCCGCCGGAGCCATCCGCAGGGCCGATTGCATTCTCGGAGGAAGAACTAGGTCCATGTGGTCCAGAAGATCCGGAGGATCCAAGTGCTGAACCTTCGTCTGCTGGCAACCCCATTTGGTTGACTCCTTCCGTCAGTTCGCCCACAGGGGCTGATGTTCCAGCTTCTGACTTGTTCTCATTCTCCACTTGTTTTCTCACGCTGTTGCGCCACTCTAATCCTATCCAGTTAATTTTCTCTTTCCCGTTCTGTATCAAGAAGTCATTTGCCCCTTTGAAATAGTTTCCGCCCAGGAAACCTACATGTTCGTTGTTTGGAGATGGGTGTCCTCCTGAGATGAATGAGTGCTTATCTGTGTCTACCAGATCTTTTTTCTTTTTAGCTAGCTCTCCCCAGAAGATGAACACTGCATGGTCTGCTTTGTCACTCACAAGTTTAACCACAGCGTCTGTGAATTTTTCCCAACCTCTACCACTGTGGCTCTTTGCTTTGTATGCCTCGACGGTCAGAATCGAATTCAACAGCAGCACACCTAAATGGCTATTCTTGTTAGTCCATCGCACAATAATCAAAAAAAAATTTAAGAATTCTATGACGTGTTTTATGCTTTGGATTCTCTCTAGTGGGTAATTATTTAGCAAGGTTTAATCCAGAATTTTTTGAGAGATGTGGAGCAGATTTTCAAAACAAAGAAAGTTTTCAGCTTTTTTGTCAGGAACAATCTAATTTTTGGGCCCTCTAGAAACTCACTTTAAGGATAGTGAGCAAGCAAAAAACTGACCTTGTTCTGCCCAAGATATCAAGTCGTAATCTAACTTGTTGTCTTTTGGTTCCAAATTGATGGAATTTTGCATTTTTTCTCCAGCCTTTGATTTCAACTCTTTGTTTGATCGTTCCGACTCCTCGTACTTTTTCTGATTCTTAGATTTCAACTCTCTGAGCTTTTCGTTTTCGTCCAATTTTAATTGTTTGTTCTTTTGTTTCAAATCTTTCAGCTCTTTTTCGTCGTCTTTTGTGTTTTCTGACACTCTGATTTTTTCCTCTTTTTTTGATATCAACTTATCGATGAGATTTATTTTGAATTTTGATTCCAACTCTAAGAGTTTTTCTTTGTGGTCTGATTCCAACTTGCTGCGCTCTAATTTGTACTCTGATCCCACCTCGCTGAGCTCTAAATACTCTAACTTCAACTCGATGAATATATATTGCAAACTACTGACCAATGACTTTGTGAAACCTTTGCTTACACTGAAGGCCAACCCGTCAGCTTGACCCGGGAAAATATCAGGATCCTGTCCGACTATTACTACTTTTACAGCCTCTGGGGAACAAAATTCCATACATTTGAAAATATCGTTCCATTTCGGCTGAATTTTTATTCTATTCTCATATTCTTCTTTGAGCTCGTTTTGGAGATTATCTAAGTTTTCAATATGTTTTTCAAGATGTTCAGCCCAGGAATCGGGAATCAGTTCTCGGAATGATGATGGTGTAGCGGTAGCCATTGTAACAAGATGGAAAAGGCTGTCTCGGTCTCAGTTAGCTAAAATTATACGCCAATTTCAATTAAAGGAAATATTCACTGTTTAATACTGGACAATGTTTGCTGAGTAAAATTCTTTCGCGCTTTTTTCACTTTCAGAAATAAACAACTTTAATGTGTTTGTTGTAAGCAAAGGTCTGAAACGGTAGAAAGAAAATTTAGAGTTTGCAGGAAATGAAAGCCAGAGC